CGCCCGTGGGGCGCCCCCTCGGGAGGTCACCGAGGCGGGAGGCTTGCAACATGTGTTCCTTTTTTCTTTGAGGTGTTTGGTGGGTGTTTGGTAGGTGTTTGGTAGGTGTTTGGTAGGTGTTTGGTAGGTGTTTGTTTTTTTTGACGGTTTTCCTGAAATCTGAGGTGTGTTTTGGTAGGTGTTTGCGCTGGGTCTCGCGATCCGCGATTGCGGCCGAGAGCAAGGTGTATAGGGATCCAGATTCGCACGTTGCAAACATTGACTAGTACAGTTACAGAGACTCTGAGGATGCACATTGGCGGGCCTGCAAGGCAAACACCTTCTGAAAGAGCTGCAGAAAAGCCACATTCCAAACACTAGCCTCATACTTTTTGTGCATTTGCATACTGTGCTTCTGCCCATATGTGCAATTTTGTTTGGAATTTTGCTGCAGGCACAATCAAATCGCTAGGTCAAGACAGGCAGGCCCCTGGACTGATTGTATGTGAAGGAAAACGGCGGAGGTTAAACAAAGCAGTGGGCAGAAACCCCACAACCAGCCCTGTACCGACAGCAGATACCAAGCGCTCGAATTAATGACGCTCTGCCAAAAATGCTGGCCCGGTTTTGCATGAACTGCAGTTTTGACTTGCTCGGCTATCGGAAACATGTGAGTCGGGTTGCCCAGACACAAAGGAGTGGACACCGGGGAACAGATACAACAGAAGGCGCATTGAGTATTGCCCGGAAGGAAGGCACGACTCTTCTTTAGATATGCGGAGCTGGTATACAGGTCTGAACTCTGTCAAGGCTGCCATGCCCCAGCTTGTTCGCAACTGTGCTAGCCATCGTTTGGCTCGTTGAAGTACACCTGGAGCGGCTTGGGCTAATATACCAAAGGGCTTCCAAGAGGCGAAGGTAGCAAATATAGCTTGAGTCATGCAAACACATATATCAACGAGTGGTTTCCTTTTGGAGCTGTGAGAAAGGAACCTGAATGAAAAGAACGGAAGGCCGAAATATGAAAATCAAACGGAGGCTTCGGCACGCATTCGGACGGCTTTGCAGAGGGCCGAAGTTGTGTACTGCCTGGAAGCAGCAAAGCTCAACTCGGAGCTCAAGGGGCAGTTCCTTGCGGCGTTTTCTGGATGCGCGGACTTCAGCAAGCTGAGCAGGACATGGGAACTCTATGGAAACATGGGAGCAGGTTGTCCCCACATCCAGCGGGTTCTGCATAGTCAAGCCAAAACCTATATCTACACCAACACATATAATATATATATATACATGTGTATAGATATAGATATATACATATATATATATATATGTATATTACACACACACGCTACAACATATATGTATATATATTATACATATATATATATATACAGATATATATATATATATACACACACACCTACACGTAGGTCAGGGGCACCTGTTTCAAACGTCGCCATAGGCGGCGTTTTTTCTCTTTGCTCCGGCTCCAGGTGGCCTTCCTGGCGGAGGGCGCCTTTGGGGCCGTCATGAAGGTCGCCTGCAACAGGACCGGTGGGACCCATGGGACGGGGTTCGGTCGCCAAAAGGTGTGGGAGGTGAGGCCCATTTTGGGCTCGAAAAAAGGCCCCCCATGCCCCCCAAATTGGGAGTTGGGTTTAGGCAAACAACAATCTGACACCCTGGGAGTACACAGGGAAATGAGTCCCAAAGAAACCTAAATCGCCAGGTTTTGAATAAACTAAACCGGGGTGATTCCGTGGGCGTAATCGCAGAGTCGAATAGGCAAACCCTTGCCGAACCTCAGTGCCATAAAGCATTAGGCCTTCGGCCCCCAATGGGAGTTTGTGGGCGTCCAATGGGAGTAGTATGGCCCCAAGGATGCCTGTACAACAGCTGGGGGACCGTGATTGCCGTACCTTCAGACACCTAGCCGTGTGCTGAAACACGCCTTTTCGGAGTTCCATGTTTTGATGACGCCAAAAGGAGCCAGTGTCTGGAGTAGCAAATCAGCAAGAGCGCTAGTGGTGAAAGCGTTGAGGGTATGCTGGTATGCTTGGGGTTCGCGTAATGCGAAGAATCCGGGAGCAGAGCCACGTCACTTACAACATGCAGGGTAGAGTTGGGAACATGGACTCCCAAAGAGTTTGCCCTCGTTTTCCCCTTATGCAAGTTGCCCCGAGCTGAGTTGCTGTAAGGTCAGGGCGTCAGGTGACGTGATGTTGATCATTGAGATATCTCCCCATTGGTTTCCATGCGAACGAATAATCAACGGGTTAAGCTTGGGGCAGCCAAAAGTCTGGTTCCGAGCTCCAAGACCTGGCAACCCACAGGACAGGCGAGAAATTTGCGCTGAAGAAGATCAGCTGCATGGAGGGCGTGCAGGTAGGGGACACGATCCAGTGGCGAGCCCTTTTTTTTCTCCGTGTTCCATTTGCTGAAATGAATATTTTGGTTCTTTTTTGGCTGTTGGTTTTAAGGGAAGCTATCACTACTGGACACATTTTTGTTGTTCGCAGGGGGCTCAAGCAAATGGACGCCATTGTTGGCACAGTTGGTCGCCCGCCAAGCACTCGCCTATGTTCCCTCCAGCCCACAGAACAACTAGGAACTGCATGTTTGAAGTGCGCGCAATGGAGGCTTGATGTTCGTGATCTAGATTTCTGGCCGGATGGTTGAAGAGTCCTGGACCACGGATCGATACAGACGCACCCCCCATGAGGTTTTATAGGGAAGCCACAAGAACAGAGTCACAAGTCAATGGCATTTTTTAATACGAAGGTGACTTGGTGCTTGTACAAAACAGCCCACTCAGGTTGCCAGCAGTTTCGAGGCTGCCGAGCGGGAAGCCAAGGTGCGGTCTCGCAGCTCGCACGGGGGGCTGGGTGTTTGCTGAGTCTTTTTTTGGGTTCAAGAGGGAGTGGGCCAATGGGTAGTGGGGGGCTGAAGTGCATGAAGGCACTTATCGGAAAACTTGCAATGCACACACGCACCGAAGTGGGGGCCGAAACTCGGGGCCCGCAGTAGCAGAATGTTTACATTGTTACCCTCCTGTGTTTGCTTTGCCTCGTCGACGGGACAGATTCAACTTATGGAACGAGCTCATAAACTGTTGGCACTTTGGCATTTGCAATGCTGCCAAATCCCATCTCCAACCTCCAAACGAGCATTTGCAAAAGGCCCTTTGCAGATGTTGCGACCGAAACAGGCAAGCAGCCGCGGGCATCGAACGCAACCAGTACGCTTTCTGCTTGATCTGCCTGAAGTCTCCAAAAAGGGGAGCTGGCCTATTTACTGAAAGGCGGAAATGCCACAACATGGCAAGCGGGAGCGGACCTGAACACTTGAAAGTATCAAAAGTGAGGCAGATTGTCAGTGTCAACTGGAGTCCGGCTACTTCAGACAGCGGCATCCTGTGAGCCGTTTCCCTTCGCGCCATGAGCCGCAAAAGACACCTTTGGGCAGGCCTTTGTGACACGGGGCTTCCACTTTTTGAACGAATCTTGAACCAGGCTCACCTCCGCGCATTTGGTGTGTTGAACGTCGAGTTTGACAAACTGCCGCGCCGCGCATGTTTCAAAAAGCTCCGTGCGTGGCCTGAAGGCAAGGTTGCAGCATGTGGCCATGTCAACGTCCAGGAAAAAAAACAGAGCATTCGCGGTGGTGGTAAGGGATGAATGTCATAAATCCCTGAATGGTTTATGTTTGCAACTTCCGGCAATATTTGCATATTGTGATTTACCGCAAGACGTTTGGTCAGTTGCTCATGTTAGCATCACTCCGTCGTGTCGGCTGGGCCTATTGTCAGCTTCGTCACATCCTTGCTCGCAGTCACCCGGCAACTGTGTTGAGGCGTAGCCGCACTCATGCCAACTGAATAGCAAGGGTGAATCTTCCCGCTGGAAGGCCTGTCAACAAAGCATACAGGAAAAGGTGTCCAGCACAAGCTGGAATTGGTTTGTGTTTTGGAAAGGTAGCGCGGATGCCCTAAATATTGCAAGTAAGCCAACCACAAACCATGGGGGCTTTCAGCGTTTCCCCTGTTCCCCACTTGCAATATTTCGGTCATCCACAGTGCAGTTCGCTTCCGCGGGGACTTCTCCACAAGTCCAGCGGTTCACCACGTTTCTTTCTCTACTGTGAGCTGTGATGGCGGCAGCAGCTGCACCAAGAACAAGGCGCAAGGGGAGAGCTAAACCCTCTACTCAACCAGAAGACGTGCACTTTCCAGGTAAAGGGAACCCCCAACCGCCTCTTCAACAACAGGTTTGTGACGAATGCGAAGTATAGCTTCAAGGAAGCGGCCCCTGAGAGCTTCAATATCTAAGCTAATCCTCCTTCGGAAAGAAACATTGCCTTCCTGGGATCTTCCCTTTGGTTCCGGGGTGGAGGGAAGATGCTCTAACAGAAGCCAAAATATACAAGTCCTGCCCTGAGAGGTCATTGTGAGTTGTACCGGAAAGCGTCGTGCTTTGCAAGACAGTTTTATGCAGATGGGTTGCGTCACAACATGGATTGAAAAGGCACAGAAGGTGAGCATTCGAATCACAACCTCACTGGCCCACAGGTAGCTCGGAGAGAGGGAATTGTTGACTTCCCAAGTGAAGGCATACTTGCAGCGATTCCTACGAAGACAAAACCACGGCCTTTTCTGTCAGGGAAAGCGATTCTTTGCTCCAGGGGATTTTCTCATCGCTGGTTGAAAGCTTTTTATATTGGTATGGGGTAGCACCCCGTCTTGGGCGAGCCGCGCAGGAACCGAAGCCGAAAGCAGGAGGGTGGCGGTCGCACCCAAAAGGTTGCACCGGCATTTAGGCTTGGCTAGCAGAGATGAAGGATCAACCTGAGGGTATTACTCTGCCGCAAGCCGTCAACTTTGTGAACAAACAACCACTTGTTCTGGGACTTCGAATCAGTGACCCGGGGTTGAACCTTGCCACTCCGGTGGTTTTGGGACCCTTTTGGCTTGCTTTGGGACACATCTGCGCATCTTGTTTTGGCTTCTATTCGGCATAGGCCCTCATTTGACGTATTGGACACCGAAGGAAGAGGCCCCGGCGACGCGGAAGCGGCCCGCAGCCCAAGGGCGGGGGGCCCAAGTGGCCGTCTCGCGGTATGATAAACACAAGTTTTCTCTTTCTGGGACCCCTAGCGCAGACGCCCTTCATGACATGGCCCCAAGTATGGATCGTTTTTTATTAGGCGGAGTTGTAGCATGTTGTTCCGGGGAACTGAAGGCGCCGATGGTCGTCTAAATGCTTCAAGTCAAATCGCCATGCAACAAAACAACATGCAAGCATGATTGCTCAAGACTATATATGATATATAGTTTTCGGTGGGCAAGCGGACAGCAGTGCCAGTATCGTGTTTTCATGAATGGCTTGCATTTGTGTCAAACAGGAGTCAAGCTCATGTTGTGTTGGCTGTCTCTGTACACTTTCTTTTATTGGCTCAACACACGGCCTTCAGAGGCAGGCCAATCGAGATTTGACCCTTCTATCAGTTTGAAGCCAAAGCCAAGCGGACCACCACCTGAAGGGGGTCCGAAGCCTTTAAACATTCAAATACATGCAGAAGCCTTTGGTTTTGGGGGCAGTGTGGCCTTTTGGAGCGAGTAGACAAAAGGCGAGGAAGATGAGTGTAGCTGTTCCGTCACAGGGCATTTCGCCAACCACAGTCCTACTAAAGATTATTTGGAGGCTAGGCATGAAGAATGTGCCACAGATGACAATTGAAAGATCAGCCCATGAATGAAGCTCATTCTCAGAGGCGGAGCAGACACATTCAACTTGATCAGCGCTAATGTTGACCCTGTATTCATCAACCCCAGTTTATTAATGGGGGGTGTCCCTGGCTTAGTAGGGACTCATCACTGAAACACCTCCCCTATTAATAAGCTGGGGTCGAGAGAAACATGGGGTCCACATTCGTCATCACATGCCAAATGAGGTCGAAGGCCGCGAAGCCGCTGTCTCCGGCGGAGGAGGCAGGCTCCCGCTTCGCCATGCCAATTACATTCCGAAGCGCCTCCATAGGCCATGAGAATTTCGGTCCTGAGCCAAGAAGCAGACAACCTGAGATCAGAGCAGCTCGTGATGTTATTCTATTCATGTTGCCTTTCCAGCCCTGACCCTTCAATGCCAAGTCACGAGAACAACGCAGCTCTCAGTGTGAAACTTTCCTGGAGCTCCTTCGCAATGTTGCCCATATCTCCACAGAGGTGAAGGGGATCCAGGAATCAACATCGTTTCAGAAACTAATTGCTAGTTGCACAAAGTAACAGACAGTGCGATTCAAGACGCTTCCTCTGACAATTCAGAAACGTGTGGTTTGCACAAGACTGGGGACATTGGACGGAGCTGGTAGCACTGGTTTGTGGCGGTTTTTGGCGGAAACAGTTTGTGAATAGGTGCTTGCAATTTCCGGAGCAGTATTTGCAGTGTGAACACTGGTAAGCTTCTGTATCCAAACTTGTTTGTCCGCATCAATAACACTGTTGGCATGCAACGCCTTGAGCATGGGGCTAGCCCTAGCCATCGCACCCTGTTTGGAGAGGCAGGGATGGCTCACGTCCCAAGACTCGCTGAAAAAGGAAGACTGGATTCTGATAAATTGCTAAAAGACTTCTACACTGAAGTCTGCCAAGTGTCCTGCTCATTCGGCTGAAGTTTCATTGCCATGTCGAAAAGGCATGACAACCCCGAGGTGTGGGGTCAACTCAACAATACCCGCAGACCAAAGCTGCGTTGCGACCTATCTTGTGTGACTTCCATTGATCTTTTGGTGTTGGCGAGAAGACATAGGAACTCCCTCAGCTGGACCGCCTTGTGGAGGAGACCTTTCTTAGGGGGTCCTTTCCTTGGGATCAAAAGATGAGGCTCTCCTTCACCTTTTCCCCGCCTTCCGAGGCGGCCCGGCGCCGGCTCGGGGGCCTAGTTTTTAAGCCGCGAGGAATGGGACGCTGGTCGCGACTCGGGAAGTCCCAAGCCCGGTGGGTCTGGTTGGCTTGCGCCTTCTTGGGAATCCGGGCGAGGTGTCCTTGAATCTGGTCTCATGCAGTTCAAGCTCCACAGAGCTTGGCGCACGCACGTGGCCGCGTGAAGTGGTGTTCCGGAGCAGTGTGACATGCCGTCGCGAGAATGTCACCAGCTTCTCAGGTTTTGTAGTTTCGCGCCAGCTGAAATCCAGTAAATGTCATGATAGGCCAGAGCGCAGGGTTAGAAGCTTTTTGCTAGGTGTGTGTTTAGCTGGCCGTTGAGTTTGCGGCCAGAGGGGCCATTTGTTTGTCCTTATCAGTTGGCTCCCGTTTGGACAAGTCCTGTGGCCTTGAATGCTTAGAACGTCGCTGGCATAATTGTCTTTGTGATTGGGATCTTGTAGCCTTAGGCCACGTGTTTGTGATTGGGTCCGCGAAACGCTCAACAGAGGTCCACGAAGTATCAAAAGCCTTCTACGGATAATCTTATGTTAACCGCTGGCAATAGGCGTCCGTAAAGGCCGTAGAACGCACCGAAGTGCGCGCAGCATCACGCAGGCAAAAGCGGATCGTCATTCAATCAAAGTATGCGCATGCAACTACACCCAATGACTGCATGCTGAAGCCAGCCCATTCTAGCACGGAATCCGATGATTTCGGAGCGCTGCCAGAATGCATTTTACTCTGAGCATCCCGATCATCCCAGTGGTGTTTGGTGTTTCATTTCTCATTTCTAACCATCCATTTCCGAATATTTGAGGGTTTGTCTACGACTGTTTGAAGCGCTTAACAGTGCCTTCTATCAGGCAGGCTTGGCACTTGCACCCGTCTTGCCCGAACGCGTGGAACCTGGTTCATTTTACGTGTTTCTTTCTTAG